AATCGATTTCTGAAATAGTTGCCGATTATTTAAATAAATGATTAAACAAATGACTCCAGCCCCAAATCAATTTATACAATTTCTCACCAGACAACCAAGATAGATGAAAATACTAATGCCTGATTTATAAAAAACAAATTTTTTAAAGATAAATAAAACCAAGCACTATGGAGATCTCATTATTCTACAGTACCCCTTGACTGAGTTTAAGCCAATCAAAAATACCTTGCAAAAGAAAGCTTTGTTAAATAACAACCATATGTAATTTCAGGGAACTTAATAGGATTGGCCAGGACAAATTTTTGTTTTTTCATATATGTATTGTTTTATTAAGCAAAAAGTCTAATTTGTGGATAAGCAGTTGCATATCATCCCCATCACTCTAGTATACCAAAATAAAGGCAATTTTGTAAAGAAATCAATGAGGGGTTACTTTTTGAATGTTACCCCAACCTTATAGACATGACAGAAAATCTAGAAAAAAGTAATCCGTTGATACCAAAACAGACGTTGCATGTCAAATTCTATATGATGCAAAAAAAAAAAAAAAAACTATGCCTTAGCCAACCCCCACAGTGGAAAAATGGTGGGAGCAGGATCATGCTGCGTCGATGAATTTGTCCCATAGGGACAGGAGAAGTTGGTCAAAGTTTATGCATGAGCTAAGGTTTAAAGTAGGGTAATCCTGTTAGAACACAGTAGGCATGCAGCAACAGTGGAGAGGAAAACTCATTTTAACAGGAAGAAAACAGCAGAACCAGGCTTAGTGTAAGTGTTTTTCTCTGGCGGCTGACTGTGGGTTTCAGGAGACGGTCAGACACACAAAAGTGGCTTTGAATTGAAAAGAAGGTGCTTTAGTAAATCAGCTCTAGGCCAGGTTTCAGGCCACAAGGGTGATGGAGAGCAAATTTAGTTAGTTGCAATATAAGCTGCACCAATAGCCAACTGTACAATTTGTATTTAAAGTATTTTACTTCAATTATAGTATACCACACTCAACGTGGAACAGATGAAGTGAAGGAAAGAGTTGCCTTTGGAGATTAGAAAGAAAATGATAAACAAGCATGTTAAAGGTAAAGGCTATAAGAACATTTCCAAGCAGCTTAATTGTCCTGTAACTACAACTGGACATATTATCCAGAAATCCATGGTACATGGGACTGGAGCATCCCATGATGTGGCCACAGGAAGATAATTGATGATAAATCAAATAGACGGTTTTATGTATGGTAAAAAAAAGACCTCACAAAAATTCAGAAGAGATTAAAGATAAACTCCAAGCTCAAGGGACATCAGTGTCAGATTGGGCCATCCAGTATTGTTTGAGATAAAGTGGACTGAATGGGACCAAGTAGGACCCCAAAGTTAAAAAAAAAATTATTTAAAAAAAAAGTGGATTTTGCCAAACTACATGTTAACAAGCCACACACAATGTTCTATCAACAAATGATTTATAACTTTAACTTTTTACCTTGGCACATCAGCTATTTGTTCACAGATGGGGGAACAATGAAGCATATCAGGAAAAGCATAACATCGCTACTATGAAACATGAAGGAGGCTCTGCTATGTTTTTGGGCTACTTTGTTTCATCTGGTACATTGTGTCTCTGCAGTGTACAATCAAGACCATCAAGGAATTGCTGAGATAAATGTTCTGCCCAGTGTGAGATAACTTGGTCTTGTTGCAACTTAGTCATGGTTCTTGCAACAAGATCATGACCCCGAAACACAGAGCTAAAAACAACCTATGAATGGATAAGAGAACATTGGACCATTCTGAAGTGATCTTCATGGGTCCTAACCTCAATCCTATTGAGCCTTTTTGAAAGGAGCTGAAACTTGGCTTTTGGAAAAGGACGCCTTCAAACCTGAGACATTTGGAGCAGTTTGCTCATTAGGACTGGACCAGAATACCTGCTGAGAGGAGCAGAAGTCTCACTGACAGTTACAGGAATCATTTGATTGCAACGATTGCCTCAAAAGGTTGTGCAAAAAAATATTAAGCTAAGGTTATCATTATTTTTGTCCAGAACTATTTATTGAGTTTTTCTGTTTTGAATCATTTGATTGAAGCATTAATTAAAAGCAATGTCTGATTTATTTATTTTTTTATTATTACTTTTGTCAGGGTTAAGTTATTTCTGTGTGGGTTTTTACTTCATTAAACAAGGGGTTGTTTGTCTATGTCTATAGCTCAGGGTAACCAAAGTTACTTGAACTATGAGCTTTATCAAAAAGTTTATCAAAAAGGACAGTTTTAAGCCCATTCTTAAAAGAAGATAGGCTGTCTTCCTTGCAGACTAAAACTGAAAGTTAGTTTCACAGAAGAGGATCCTGGTAAATAAAATATCTGACATCCATTCTACTTTGGGAAATTCTAGGAACTAATTGTAAACCTGCAGTTTGCTGTTTTTAAAACATAAGGAAGACTAAGATCTCTGATATAAGATGGAGCTTGGTTATTTAGGGCTTTATGTATGATGACAATTTGGTTCATTTCCACTGTGAAGCGGCACAAATTTTTGAGACCTCTGATTGGTGTAACTGTGTGTCGTTACCACCACAGTGAATAATGATCTTACCTGATTTAAAATTGTAAATGGCCTGTACTTAGCATCTTTACGATACAATCTAAATATGTTTATATAGGATTAGAATATATTTTGCAGAGTAAAGAGAATAAAGATCAAATAAAGAATGTTTACAATTGCGCACAGATCACCAAATGCAGCATCAGATCAGGAAGTGTCACAATACAAATAAGCCTAAACATCAAGCCAGGGTTCAATAGAATGGTTTAGATTGAAACATATCCTTCTTAGAATTACCTAGTAAAATGTATATCTGAAAAATATAGTGGAGGATGTTATTTTTCCGGGTGGATCATTAAAATAAGTGGTCCTCCTATTTGTCAATCATTCTGGTAATATGTTTACATAAGGCCGTCCTACGTGCTCATCCCCATTTTCACTTACCGGTGGTGAGTCTGATATAGCGGAAAAAATTGCAAATCTTTTGGAAAGTAAGCTTTTATGAGCGATGCAAACAGCAACTTTTAAACAGAGTGTGCACAAGGAGAAATGGGCTTATGCACGCTCTTGCATGCAATTAATAGCCATTTTCTCTCTGGAGCGGGTTCAGGGTTGTGCATGTGCTTTTTTTTTGTTAAATTGGAGAGGATGGGTCTTTTCAAGAATTCGTGAAAATCTTCCATTATACCTTTTAATACAAGTGGAAATCTATGGCAACAGTTAAAAGGATGGTAAAAAGTGGTCACTAGATGTCCAAAACTGTTAGACGTACTCTGTATAACTACAGAGAAAGGCAATTCTGTTTATTTAAACTATTTAAAGGTAATGCATTTTTGAGTTTTTGGACATCTGTTAGTAAAAAAAAAATTACAATCCAAGGGTCAGGAGGTTGTAATGAGGATGCTGTCTGTATGTTATCATGTCCTTCTCACCTGTATCTTATCGGGGTTTTTTTTTTGTCTTGCTAAAATATTAGTTTCTTTAGTCTCATTAATTTGGGGGTTTGTAATTTTTTGCAGTTGCATCATTTTTTCTGTGTAACAGTTTGTGTTGGGACAAAATGCCGTTCATTCTTTTGCGTTTGATGTAAGACGGTTTAAAGTCGGTAGGCTGGGCATCGTGAATATTTCATGAAGAGCTGAAAAATTCCCTCGGTAATGAGTTGCTTGTCAGTCTGCTTAGTGTGTTTTTCCTCTTCTTTTTTCTGAGACACATCAATTGCTTGGAACGGGGTGCAGCCTCAAACTGTTTATACTCTGAGTGCGTTCTGCATAATGATATCTGACGTGCAGGTTTGTTTATGCCCTTTGTTCAGTCTCATTAAGTTACTACAGATTTCAAGAGGCCACTTGGCATGCATCTCTTACAGCTTGGAACTTTCAAAAAGCAAAATCATTTGTTTCTTTCAATTCCAGGTTTTTTGTTTGCACAACAGTTTAGCAGAACGCCACTCATTAATTCATTAATTTGTTTAATCATTTATTTACAGCTGAGGAAGTAGAGCGGCTGTCTGCCATGCGTTCAGAGTCCCTGGTCTCTGGTACACACACTCCGCCCATCCGCCATCGGAGCAAGTTTGCAACTCTTGGAAGACTCCTCAAGCCCTGGAAGTGGAGAAAAAAGAAGAGTGAAAAGTTCAAGCAGACATCTGCAGGTAAGTTTTTTTTTTTTCTTTCTAATTTAATAAAAAAATGTTATTTCTACTGGATATTCTTTTATTTTTATATGTATTTTCTTATTTTGAGGTCCTCTTTAAAATGCAGCCCAGCTATATTCCGGCCTTAGTTTTGTCTGTGTGTATTTTTATTGCCAAACACATCCTGAATGCTGTAAATGTATATTTTTTAGACTGTACTTCCTAGTCTGGACAATGAACTCTTGCCTTTAGAGAGGCTGAGCAATTGCTCTAATTCCAGGCTGAACAGGACAAGCTGTTCCGATTCTGTGATGCAAAATTTACGGTTCCCCAAAGTGAGTTTGCTGAGTAATTTGGCCTCAAGCTAATTAGATCATCTTCTCCTTATAATAACAGCTTTGATTTTCATTTCATGCCTTTCTCCCAAACAGTATTTCACCTTTTGGTCCACTCTACTTTCCCCCTAAACATTTGGCTAGATAACCCTTTTCATTGGCCAACACTTTTAAAAAAAAAATCTGAATTGTTGAGCGTTCAGCTTGACAAAAATGAGCTGAACAAAAGCATTGGACAGCTTTAAATGCTTAACTATTTGATGTTTTACCGTATTACACTAGAGAGAGTGCATGGGATAACAGTGTTGGAGTTACTGTAAATCCTTTCTTTGGTACATTTATGCATGCTCTATGATAAGAGCATCTCTCTTTTGTGGTGAAGGACAATAATCAAGAACTAAGCAACAAAAGATGCTTTTTATCCCTGGTGTTAATACACAGCAGAGCTGAGAGAAATGGCTCTTTTCATGTTTTTGTCATCCACTTGTTTTGTTTGCATAATGCTGCAGTCCCCAAATAATTTTGGTGCCTCTATTGTTCACATTGAATCCTCTTTCAAAGCCAGTTATAACCTGCCATGTCTAACTCCACTGCCTCAAAGTAAAGTTTTGGGTTTTTTAGTAATAATTGGTCTCCCAAGTAGCTCCCAAAGCTCAGGCAGCTGCTAAGGCTGTGGTAGAGTTGTTGTGCTTCAACAGGGACAATACCCTGGCACATCGGTTTTAGACTAAAACATGAAACAAACTCTTAACCCCCCCCCCCCCCCCCCGTTGAATGGGATGTTACTCTTTCGCTTCCAGCAAGACGTGGGCCCAGTGCTGCCTCTTGTTGCTATAGAAAGAATTCCACAAACTTCATTAAACTTACAAGAGATTTTCCAAAAACCTACTCGATACATTCCTGACATTTTACTACATTTTTTCCTGGAATCATCCCTATGAGACTTTCTCCAAACATAGAGAATACTTTCTCTGAACTTACTAGTCTTAAATGCACCCAGTAACATCTGAGGAAGTTCAAGAATTAAACCAACAGATGGACATGGGGAAGGAAATGGTGCAGAAATTTCAGAAATTTTTTGAGGGATTGTAAATGCGTCTGCCGTTTAGGGGGCTTTCTACCAAAAGAGATTCTCAAAGTATGATGGCATAGAGTAAAAAAAAAAAAAAAAGGAGCAAACAAAAAGCAAAAGCATTTAATTTAAAATGTTGAACATTATCTGAATAGTTTTCATACCTACTGCGGGTAAAATTATCTAACATTTTGTCAAGGTTTTATTGACATTTCTTATGCCCGAGTTAACAGTAAAAGAATTGACAAGTGCTAATGCATATCTTAGCCTTATAGTTTATTGAAATTCATGCAAGGAATGTAATGCATAAACTTCTAAACCTGAAAGTTTTGCAGAGCAGAAAAAAAAAAAAAAAAAATGGCACCTTGGTTTTCTAACAGTTCTGAATATTTTGTCCCAACCAGAGTTTCTAACAGGATAGCTAAGTTAACGTGTTTAAGAAAATTATTATAATGTTTTGACATTTGGTTGGCTTTGTATCACCCAAAACAACTTTTCTAAACATTTACTGTATCATACTAGACACTGATTGCCTCGGTTCAATAAAAAAATATTTATTGCCTTCTCCTGATGTTCAATCTGCACTATCCTGCAGTTGTAGGAGATCGTGTGCGGATAAAAGTTTGAGATGAAATCTTTCTCCTATTTCAGAACCTGAGGGCTTAACGCTAAAGTTTAATGACTAGTGCCTAAAGCCAGTGGTTCCTAACCCTGGTCCACAGGGGACACCTGTCCTGCATGCTTTAGGTGAATCCTTGGTGCACCAGAAAAGAATGGATGAATAACAGGTTTCTGCAGCACATGATTGCAATGGAGGAGCCCTAATTTGAATCAGGCGTGCTGGAACAGAGGCATTTCTAAACCATTCGGGACACGGTTCCCTGAGGACCAGGGTTGGGAACCACTGGCCTAGGCTATGTGCAGCAGAGAAGGAACCCCTCCAGCTCCTGTCTCACTCACATAACTTCTATACAGCCACTAAAGCTCAACCAATGCAGGCTTTTTAAGTTCAGTGGTAACACCAATGTATTTTTTTTTTATTGACCTCAGTCTTGCTGATACCTAAATTGTTTTTGTCTTCACGTTTGCCCTTGTAAACATAACTGTATATTAGAATTCCTGCTTGAACAGAGAGTGAACTAGCAGCCGCCTATGCAGATGTTAGTGTGGATAATTGGATGTTGAGCTCTATAGAGGATTATAAATGTGGCATGATATTAAGTTGATGAATTCCAGCATGGAGGGATCACAATCCTCACCTCAGGACAGATGAAGGAAGGGCCCAACTGTTGCTCCTGTGATCATGTCGCCTTGTAGCGGTTTGTAGAGTTTTCACAGCAAGCTTGTATCAGGAATAGATCTAAGCCTTCAGATAACAGGCAGCTGGTTCGTCTGATGTTATCTCGGCTTCTTATTTTTAATCTCATTAGCAGATGAACAGCAAACATCCAGGGGCAATGTTGTGCTGGCTTTAATAGTACATGTGAATATCAATGACATATTTCATATGTTCAGTCTAATAATGTAACTATATGTATGTCGAAAAGAATGGCAGGTCTTCTGGAGGTGCAGAAGCTTTGCTTAGACAGAACTTATCAAGATTAGCGCTTTAGCTCCCTGTTGATAAAATACTCCATAAAAGTTTTAATGCAGTTTTTGTACCGCTTACTTTGAGCTACTCAGCCTCAGGGTTGGTAAAATATGTTCTATCTGGGTCACTTCACAGTGGAATATCCTTGCCTTTTTTTCCCTTTATTCTAAAAATCCAAGTGCAGCACTTAAATCAATAGAGAGGAGGTTGGATTTTGCAGCTGCATTTATTATGCTCTCAATAGAGTCTCCTCAGTAAGTGTCTTTTCTGCTTTCCGTAGAACAGATTTGATTTTCCAGTCTGTTTGACCTGTACACCGATTGAGTAATGGGATCCAGATTACCTTTTTTATGGTAGAAATATAAAGCTTTGATGCTGTTTGTTTCATTTTTTATCAGTTTTTTTCATTTAGTTCAGTAGTTTACAATCTCTTCCATTATTCTCCCTTTAAACCTTTAAAAGAGCACATGGTCCATATCATTGCTTGAGGTGACATGGATGCACATCTGTAGTTTGTTTTTTAATGCAGAGTGAACACACTGCTTCCTTCAGTGACTTGATTATAAAAAAACCTGTAGAGCTCTGATGGGATAGAAAGAGATTTGTGGAGATTCATAAACCTTCATCATTGTGTATATGAATAAAAGATGTGCTTTAGATGCCATGTTCATTTTTTTTATGATGTCATGGGAATGTATGGCCATCAGGTTTTCATTACAAGACCTGATGATTTTTGAATCAAAATTACTTTTTCCATTTTAATTATAACGGTATATTATGTAAAACATTCTGAGGAGATACAATAATTGATTTGAACCTCACTCTCAGGTGGGGCTGGGCATGTGTCTACTTCAATTTTACCAACTGTATCTTATCCTTCCTAAATGCACATGGTCTGTTTGTCCGATCTGAATGAGCGTTTGTGTTAATTATATTGCACATCCCTTGCCCATGACTGCTATGTTAGGAAATCTTTAACAATTGTTTTTCATTAAATCGGAAAAGAACAATTGTTTGCACCATTACACCCCATTTTTTTTAATTTTCTACCTGCCCTTGGTTTACCCTCATTTGGTAATCTGCTGAGGTTTTTGCTTGGTTTTTCAATTAGTTTGCACTTATGGAAATGGGGGAAGTCTAATTTGCAGTTAAACTATTTCTTTGGTACAATTTTGGTTGCCAATCTGGATTACCCCATTCTCTAATTGTAATGTAAGCTTGGATATCAGACATGTATATGCAAAGGAGTGAGTTTGAAAATTTGTCTAGCCCCTGAAACTGCTAAGCGGCTCTCACAATAATGCATCATGTTCTTGTATAAAAAGAAAAATAGTCAAGTGGGGTCTGCAGAGGTTTACATGAATTCTTTATCCAGCGGTGCCATATGAAGGAGTTTGCCCAGAAACCGGTGGGTTGTCGGTTCAAGCCCTGGCTCCAGCGTACAGTGTCCTTGTGTCTTTGGGCAAGACACTTCACTTGATTGCCTCCTGATGGTGGTCGGAGGGACTGGAGGCAACAATATACGGCAGCCTCACTTCTGTCAGTGAGCTGCAGGGCAGCTGTGGCTACAATGTAGCTTGCCATCATCAGTGTGTGAGTGAATGGGTGAATGACTGCATATGGTGTAAAGCGCTTTGGTCAAATCCTCTGGCTTGTGAAAGCGCTATATAAGTAAAGACTATTTACCATTTCTGGATTATTTAGTGCCAACCTAGAGGATGGGCTTATTGTAATTCTAGTTTGATGTTCACTCTAAAAAAGTTAATACATTACAAAAATACAAAGAGAAATTATGTTGCGATAAAACATATTTCTTTTATTGTTTTGTTTTATTTACTCAGGTTATAGGTGTTTATAGCTGTAGGCTGAAAGGATCTTCTGTAGTGGTCTGTCTTGGACCGGATCTGGAGAAGCCTCTTAACGAAGACACTCAGCTGTTGTTTGGCAGTCTTTTAAAAAGGATGCTCACTGTTGTTCATAATGTTTTTTACTTTATGAGGAATTCTTATTTGCTAAATAATCCTCAGAGGTTCCAGAGAAGTTCATAGAACCCTTTGTTTTAATTTGAGGTTGGTGGCTCTCAATGTGTCAATGTGTTCTTATGCTTTTAGACAATTATTTTGTAAACCTCTTCATACTGATTGATGGGACTGAGCAGATTTAAACTTTTCCATTTCATTGTTTTGATTCCAGTTTCTTTTGATTCTGGTGTCCAAGTTTTTAAACAGTAAGGGGGGGGGGGAATGAGCTAGCTAACCAGAATCATTTCTGGGTGATGTTGATTTCTTGATGTTTAATTATGACAATAATAAGTGAAGCCTTATTTGGACTGGATAGCTTTTCTTTTTCCTAATGAACAAAATAAGTATTTTAAATGTAATATTTGCCTACTGATTCTATCTTTCTAATATTATAATTGGTTTGATCTGAAAAATGTAATTTAAAAAAAGCTTAAATTAAAGTAACCTTAAACATGGGTAAATATTTTTTTGGCCAGAGTTTATTTTTTTCTTTTAAATAGGAGAATATTGAGGGTACAGTGGAAGATGTTATTTTTCCCAGGTGAATCACCAAAATAAGGGGTCCTCCTAATTGTCAATCGTTCTGGTAATATGTTTACGGTCGTCGTACGTGCTTGTCCCCATTTTCACTTACCAGTGGTAAGTCTGACATAGTGGAAAAATTAAAAATCTTTTTTGGAAATTAAGCTTGTATGAGCGATGTAAACGGCAACTTTTAAACTGAGCGTGCACAAGGAGAAATGTGCTCGTGCACAGGCTCGCACCTGTTTAATCGGCGTTCTCGCTCCGGAGCAGGTACAAGGTTGTGCATGTGCTTTTTTCTTTTTAAAGTGGAAACGGCGGGTCTTAATACAAAAATGTGAAAATCCTCCACTATATCTTTAAGGGAACACATCTGTTCCCTTGCTAAATTCGGTCTCTGCAGTGTTTTGATAAAGCAGTTCAGTCAAGTTACTGCCTCCCCGTCGGTCTAAAAATATGCTGTGTTGATTCTGGGTCAACTCTTTGATAACACTTTTTACTATCCCCCTAAATATTTGCTTCCCATGTGGGGCATAATCAATGTTTAATGTGGCTGCTTACAGGAAAATCTTAAAGCATCTGCAAAAAGGCACAATTTATTTAAACTTACATGGTTTGTTTTTGTTAAATTTTATTTACAACCAATGATTTTCCTTTAAAAAAAAAAAAAAAAAAAAAAAAAAAAAAAACAGGGAATAATTGAACTTTTATGTAAAAACTAATGTAAGGATTGGACCCAATCTAACACTGAATATGTTTGAAAACTTTTATGTACAAAAGGATGTTTGACATCTTTTTAGTTTTGATTCATTTCTAGTGCAGCATATTGTGCCGTTGCCATAAAATAGCAGGCAGAGTTACTACTCTTGGATCAAAAAGCACAGATGGCAGAAGCTGTGATCCTTCTCAGAAGCAGAAGCCAAAGTACATAGGCCTAGCGGGAGTCCTCTGTACACAGAGTATCACATCCTCATTTCTCATTCTCACCTGGTTCCTATGCAGGGATAGATGTGGTAATAATCACCTCAGGTACCCAACAGTAGAAGAGCTACATTTTATTAGGCCTATAAGCAAATCAGAGATGTACAGATCAGAACTTAGTGGCCCAGTCCCATATTTTTTTTTGTTTTTCTGCAAATTATGGTTCTGTTTGAGAACTATAATTTTGAAAGGTATAAGAAAAACATTACCTGTTATCTTTTAGTTGGCCATTCTTGCCATGACTGATGATTTATTTATATTTTGTACAGAACTGGAGTTACTGCATGGGTGTGAGAGACGAGTTACTGTAAAAACTGGTTTGCTAATATTATAAAACAAAGACAATATTGTTATTGTGGAGTTGACATTTTTTTAATCTGCTTTTAAGCCTGATCAAACCAGATGTGCCTCAATAAGTCATAAAAAACAAAGCTTCTACTTCTTAACCATTTAGAGAGAACAATATGTTTCTTTATAAAGTTAATGTAGCCCTACAAAAGTTTCATCAGAGCTTGCAGAGTGGGTTTTTTTTTATTATTGATTTATGGTTTACTGATTGGATGTGGTGCACATATTTTATTTTGTTAAAGTTTTGTGCATTTTTGGGGGTTTAAGCTTAGCTTCAAGAAATTGTATTTGAAATGCAGTTTAAAAAAAGAAAGTGGTTTGTACAGTAATTGATGTATTGAAAGCACCACATGCACATTTTCCTTTAGTGTAATTCTTTTTTTCCATTAGGTTTCATTACTTTGTCTAAAAGTCCAATTGTCTATTTTTTTGTTCTTTCTAAAAATGTCACATTTTGTTAGCACTTGTCAATCCTGATATAAAATAGTTGGTATGTATTTTAGGTATGTTTGTTGGCTCTGGTTCACTGAATTGGATTGTGCTACTGATGGTGTGATAAACCATCATATTACTGATCCCTGGTGGCCAGGTCAAATCTATTTTTCTGCCTGCTAAGCTCCTTAAAAGCACGGTAAAGCATACTGTGTTACCATGACAACCACAAATGGTGAGCTGCAGTTCATCTTTCTAGACACATCTAATACAGTTCTCTAAAATGCACTGGTTTTTATTTTGCTCAACATGTGTATGCAAACCAATTAAAAAAAAAACTTGCTCTATTTCCACATCATATATATTTTATTTTTAAACAACAGAACCCAGATGTTTGATGTTGCAGTGTTCCTGCATGTGCTTCATGATAGAAACCTCAAACATATTTTAATTTAAATTTGAGTGCAAGCATGTTGTGATTTATTTATCAATTTATTTTTTTATGAGCGGATTTTTGAAATTCCTCAATTTAACACAGTTGGAACTTCAGTATGTAACTATTTAAAGAGAATATTTTGATCAGAATGAACTGTATACAAGTAATCCAACCTATGTTATAGGTAAGGTAAGGCCTGTTTCTTTCTGATGGTGGGAGTTGTCAAATACACAAGTTAAACTGAACTAACACATAAAAGATAATGATGCTATGGATAGCGGGGTATACAAAGATCTTTAACCAACCTCTCCTTTATACTCCCAGCTTTGGAGAGGAAAATGTCCTTGCGACAGAGCAGAGATGAACTCATCAAAAGAGGGGTTCTGAAGGAGATCTTTGAAAAAGGTGAGCTGAATGCTAAACAACCTGATCTATTTATTTACTGTTTCATAAGTCCCTACTCTCTGATTTTTCTTTTTGAAATATTTGACATGGGGCATCAGAAAATATCATCTTTACTGGTTGAAGTTTTGTCAAAACTCTGAAGCTTCTATAAGAAAAAGTCTGTATCTGAGTCATGCTAATTCTGTGCTACAGGGCTTTAAGAAAACAGTTGGCAAGACTTTACAAGTCCCCATGCTCCTGCCAAAATGTGGAAAGTGATGATAAGGAAATTGTCTTTTTTTATATGTAATAAGAGTTAGAAATTAATTCCAATTTCATGCTGTAGTGCAGTGTCATCACATTGAGGCTACAGAGGGAGTACAACCAGATTTCTTCCATAGAACTTGCCTGAAAATCCTTGTGAGAGATTAATGCACAAACCTCTAAAAAACAAATTCTTTCAATCCTACATTTGAAGACCAGAGAATAGTCACCATATATCGATTTAACTGACTCCCCGGCAAAGCTTTATGATCTTAGATGTTTATATTATTAAAAAATTCAGGTGGCTGGTTAGCTGCATCCCAATGAATAAGAATACCATCAAGAAGTTGACTTCTTTCAATAATTCTATTAGAGAAAGTTGGTGATCAGGCATTCATTATACACTTTATTCTATATTTGATTTTATCAGTTTGTTTATTTTTGTTCATTTAATTGTCTGTCAAAGCTGATGAAAACCCAGGCAGGCACACCAATGTTGGTGTAGATTTATCATCCTATCAAAGTATTTCCAAATACGCTACATCAGCATGTCATACTTGGGCAATGTTTCTTGGCATACATTTTAGAATCATTGTAGTATGATGTCGAAGTAATTATCCTGTAGCTTTTCTGGGCTGCTGGTGAAACACTGGTGACTTTCTTCTCTGCATTGTTGGATCTGGACTCTTTCGTCTTCTTAACATACTCCCTAGTGGCGTGGGACATTTTTTATTTATTTTATTTTTTTTATTTGGCCACTAATGGCTGACTTCTGACCATTTTAGCCCATCCCCACTGTTAATTTCTATCACAATTTGTGTTGAAAACCATAGCATACAATTTCCTTTATTTCCCAGGTTCTATCTGGGCAGTGGCATTTCTAGACCAAATTCACCAGGAGGGCAAGGGTGTGGCCAGAGTTGTTATTATTATTTTTTTTATTGGTGGGGGTGAACAAAAAGGAGGCTGTGATTGATGTATTGAGTGAGACACAGATTCAAAGAGTCACTTGTGAATCTGTAGACTCCAGTGAAAGCAAATAAAACGTAGGGGTGCAGTGATTTATAGGTCATGGTCTTTTCTAATTTTGGGAGTTCTGTGATAAGCAGATAATAAGATGTAAAACTGATTGTAACTAAACTTTAGCTCTATATTGTAAAGCACTATCTTTTGCAGTTAAAGTAAGCTTTTATGGTTTTACAGATTTTTCTCTTAAAATAAAATGAGATTAAAACATTCATTTCAGGCTATCCTGAATCACCCTATCTCCAAGGCAGTACCCCCACCCTTCAGAGGGGGTAGAGCTGGTCCACTGTTTCATGGCCAGGACGAAAACCACACATTTCCTTCTGAAGCTGAGGTTCGACAACCAGCCAAACTCTACTTTCAAGCCCCCTGGCATAGGCCTACCTGGGAGACTGAGAAGTGTTATCCCTCTATAGTTTGAGCACACTCTCCGTTCCCCTCTCTTATGCAGTGTAACCACCACGCCGATCCAGTCTGGCAATCCAGGAGCACTGTCCCCAAACTCCACCTGATGTTGAACGTGTTTTAGCCATTGCAGCCTGACAACATCCAGAGCTCTAAGCTACTCGGGCGAATCTTGTCCATCCTTGAAGCCTTGCCAGCATAGAGTCTTTTGATCACGTCATTGACTTCAGCCTGGGCGAAGAGCAAAACCAGCCCTGTTTACCCAGTCTCTGTCTTGGTCTGGCTGGGTCCTGTAAGGAGGAACCCAACCACCAGGCACTTGCCAATAAACCCCAACTCCAGGCCTGGCTCCAGGGTAGGGTCCCAGCTCTGCCATACTGGGCGATGTCACGTGCCTCAATTTCTTAGTCTTCATACGGGCTTTTTAAACTGTTCTTTGTCTGACCTGTCACCCAGAGCCAGTCTGCCTTAGGAGACCCTATCAGGAACTTTAAAGCCCCCAACAACATAGCCTCTGTGACCATCTTGACACTGAAACCTCTTGACTACGTTAAAGGAGAAGTTCGGTTTTTTACACTTTAAGCCCATTTTCTGTAGTGTCCAGGATGAAATCGAATGATCGACACCAAAAGTTTGACAATTGCTCCCATCTCTGCTTTTTGGCTCATTTAGAATCACCCCCTGGCTGCTTTAGAATGGCTACTCCGACGTCGAGGTGC